AGACCTGCACGGCCGCCTATGCCGTGGGCAGCACGGTCGCGCTGCGCGCCGTGCCCGCGGCTGGCAAGACCTTCACCGGCTGGACCGGCGCCTGCAGCGGGCTGGACCCGAACAGCTGCGCGATCACGATGAACGCCGACGCCAAGGTGCAGGCCACGTTCACGAAGTGAGCCTCATGCGGCGCGGGAGTGGCTACATTGCACGGCAGCACCGCCGCGCGCTGCCCCCGCGCCGATCCTCATGCCCAAGCCCTGGAGCGCCTTGACCTCCCTGCTCGACACCAGCGGCACCCCACGCCTGGCGCTCACGCGGCTCTTCGCCGTCGTGGGCGCCTTGGCCATCGGGGCCTTCAGCATCGTGATGGGCGCGTGGCTGTCGAGCTGGCTCGAGCAGCGCATGCTGGAGCGCGACGCGGCCTTGAGCCGCGACTTCGTGCAGAGCATCGCGGACATCCAGAAGGTGGCCGCCTTCTTCGCCCGGCCCGACGGCACGCCGGCCCCCGAGGTGGGCGAGTTCTTCGATCACGTCGCCGCGATGCCCGACGTGCTGCGGGCCAATGTGTACGCGACGAACCGCCGCGTGCTGTGGTCCAGCAACGCCGCCCTCATCGGGCAGGTCTTCCCGGCCAACGAGGAGCTCGACGAGGCGCTGGAAGGCCGCGTCATCGTCAATGCCGAGCAGGGCGACGAGGGGCACGACAAGGCCGAGCATGTGGGCCTCAGCGGGTCGGCGCACCGCTTCGTCGAGAACTACCTGCCCGTCTACGAGCCGCGCTCCAGCCGGCTGATGGGCATCATCGAGGTCTACCGCCGGCCCACGGCCCTGTTCGATTCCATCCGCGAGGGTCAGCAGCGCATCTGGGCGGGCGCAGCCGGCGGCGGCGTGTTCCTGTTCGCGGTGCTGGTGTGGTTCGTGCGCCGGACGGAGCGGGCGATGGCCGTGCAGCAGGCCCGGCTCGTGGAGGCCGAGGCGATGGGCATGGTGGGCGAGATCTCCGCGGCCGTGGCGCACAGCATCCGCAACCCGCTCGGCTCCATCCGCAGCTCGGCCGAGCTGCAGCGCGAGCTGGGCGAGGACCCGCACGGCGTGCATGCCGAGGTCATGGGTCATGTCGACCGCATCGAGCATCTCGTGCGCAGCCTGCTGACGCTGGCCGCAGCGCCGGTCGACC